GTGACCTAGATTCCCGACTGTGGCACACTCTGCTGGAATATCCACCTGGGGCACTGCAAACTCGCAACTTGGCTGCAACCTCGCCTCCATTGAGGGGCCTGAAGAGGGCGCGTGGCCAAGCTCAGCCAGGAGCTGGACGGACTCAGGGTATCCCTTTGGCAGTGTCGACTGGCAGAGAGTTCCCCTGGAGCCCAGCATAGATTAGAGCATTTACCCTCCAATGCGCACTCCCTTCTCCTGGTGTAGCGCCCTCCTCGCTGGTGTACATGAGCAGGTGCAATATACACTGCCCTGATTCAGTGGGGGAGGGATCTAGTCCCATAACTCCAATGTCAGATCTCTTAACCCAACGAATGCCTTGTTTGAATTGTTTGTTTGTGTCGCAGCAGTGCCTATGCACCCCAGTTATGGATCAGGGCCCGCACTGTGCTAGGCTTTATACAAATACAGAACAGGGAGACAATCTATAGCTGGCTGGAAACCGGAATTGCCATGCCACCGGAAAGCCTGACATTTTAAAATTTGTTTTAATTCCAAATTGGAATGTGCAGTTTAAATGTTGAGAGGAAGGAAACTGCAGAAAATTTTGATTCAGAAACATGGAAATGTTTCATTTTGATAATGTCACAACATTTTGTTACAATAATATTGAATAATTATAATGTAAATGTATAGAAATATTATACTACAACATAATATTAAAGGGAAAATGAAACATTTTGATGTTATTGAAACGAGAAAGTTGAAACCATTTGTTTTATCATTTTGCAATTGGGCCCTTGGTCAAACTCGACATGTTCCCACAAACGGGTTCCATTTTGACTAAACTACACTGTCCGACAGAAAACAGTTTCATCAGATTTTTTTCACCCAGCTGTATTCCATTCTGAGCATGTAGCTTGTGTCTGGTCAGACATGTTGTCTACATCCTGCACCTTTAAATGGAGAGAAGACCCCCTCTGTGCTGAAGAAGCACTTGCAGTTTTGTGTTCAGTTGCATCCTGCTGCACAGGAGAGGCCCCACTCTTCTCTCCATCTGTCTTACCGAGACCTGCCTTGTGTGCAGTCTTATTCTCTCGGTCTAAACTAAAGTTCAAGCAGGCTGAGAGGGCAAGGGAAGAACAGAATGTGATGCCAGTCACAAGTTTTATTCTGCTCCATGAGGCATTTTATGCTGTTTAATGAAGTAATCGGCATATTAGTGACTATTTTGCATATATGCTTAGTTTACAGTTGACATATTCTGCCCCAAGCTGGTTGGGAGGAGAGGAAGAGGGAAGGGGTGGTGTTCACCGGGAAGCTGAACAAAACCTGGCAGCTTTGGCTGGGGTAGGAGGTGCCCAGGAGGGTCAGATGCGGAGCTGCTGGGGTTATTGTTACTGAGTGGTAAGGCTGGAACTCCTGGGATGCTTTGAGCTGTTTGGGTCACAGCAGCTGGGGGTTTGTACCGGGGGGGAGCCTGGGGCCAGTATCAGGTCTCTCACATTCTGTCATCACCTCCAGGCTGCTTGCTGTGATCCAGCAGAGGGAGAGGAGGCACCTGGCTGTCGGCTCAGCAAATGCCACAGCTGCCTCTAGCAGCCAAGGGGCAACTGCAGGAAACTGCCTGCTGCCTGCTTACGGTTCAGCTATTCACTGAGGCTCTCATACTGTGCTAATCACTGTAGTACCAGCGAGCCTGCCACTAGAGTGTTAAGCAACACGACTGTCCCGTGTTGTTCCTTCTGTCATCCTCACCCCCGAGGGAGAAGTGTGTGCAGCGCAGTGCTTCATTTGTAATGAAAGAGATGCTGGGGCTCAAGCAATTAGGTGCCAGGGCTCAAGCAATTTTTTTACAAGCCCAGAGGTGCCAGGGCAATGAACTGCCAAGCCTAGAGGTGCCGGGGCTCAGCCCTGGTAAGCCCTGGCACAAATTAAGCACTGGAGCAGTGTCAGGTTTTGGTAGTGTGCGGCCTTTTCTGTTCTGATGTGTGAGAATCCAGCTGAGCCGCAGGGACATGTGACAGGGCTGCGAATGGGTGAGTGTCACACATGAGGCAGGACACTTGGCAGCGCTAAACATAGGCCCTGGCTTTCCATGGCCTCGCTCTTCGTATCACCATTTACAGCAGGGCAGAGTAGGTGTCAAATGCTACCAGAGCAGAACCGCGCGCTTCAGGCTCCCTTTGCACTCACTCTGCACCAGGTGCCAGGCAGGGGAGAATCAGCCCCCAGCCTTTATTGGCTGAGATTGAAGGTAAAGAGAAAATCACTCAGGGCTTGATCCAAAGCCCACTGAGGGGAATGGAAAGAGTCCTATTGACTTCCATGGGCTTTGGCTCAGGCCTAACAAAGGGCGAAGTGGAATTTAATCAGAGCCAGGTTAAGGCTACTCCTACCTAACTCTGTCATTTTGAAATCTTGGCTAAGCAAGATGAACAGCCCCCCGGCAGAAAGCTGGGTGTCCCAGGGAGCTTCACACTGCGGCACGTCCAGCCTCCCAGCAGTGAGGCTCTGCCAGCGTCTCTGCTCTGAGTCAGCAGGCTGCAGCCACGGCCGGTGAGATCTCCTTCTGTAGCCCAAATCACTCTGTGGTTGTCATTGCCGGCAAGTTGGGCAAAGTCCTCACTAACATTTGAACCTGTAAGCGAACACTTTTCATCCAAAAATCTCCAGGCACATTAAAGGGGTGGGGTGTAAGCAGCATCTTCAGGATCCCAATATCAGAAATGGGGAAACTGAGGCACAAAGCAGTGAAGCCCAGTAGCACACAGCATGTCACTGACACATCCAGGCATAGCAAGGAATTCTCCAGCTAAAGCCCTGTCCACTAGGCCACGCTGCCCCTTTAGCACAATGGCCATTCCCTACAGTCAGATGTCAGCGCACACACAGCCATCCGTACATTTGTATCTCTCCATTACTGAGGGCAGCAGGTGACACACCTAGATCGACAGACAGCTAGAGAGGAGATTAGATTAAAAGCCCTGATCCACACTCCTGTGTAACTGCCTGCCAGTCTCCATGGAGATACAACAAGCATTTCATCTGAGCTCCCTGCCCCCTGTTCAGATAATACAGCAAGGGGCTGTGGGATACACAAACCTCAATTAACAGCCTGGAACTTTTCAAGCCATCCCCACTCCCTGCTGGGAGCCTAAACAAACAGCCCTTGGACAGCAATCGCTGTTAGCACAGAACTAGTTCCTTTGCTCCAGGTGGTGTCCTAGGGTCCTGGCTGACTGAGCAGACTGGCTAGTATGTTACAAAAGCAAAATGAAATTCACCTTCCTGTATGTACAAATTACAGTGCAGATGGATGGTCGGGGATTCGGCTGCCACACTAACCAATGCCCTTTCATCAGTACCTTCTCCATTCCCCATCCCCGTCTCTCTGACCTGGGCCTTCCCCTTCCCAGGCAGTACATGGTGCTAGTGCCCTTTCTGATCCACACCAACGGTCCTGAAAAGGTCTGTATCCAGCTGACCCACCTGAACGAGTCTGTGACGCTGAGCGCCACGCTGGAATACGCAGGGGAGAACAGGAGCCTGATCGCAGATGTGGTGTCGGAGAAGGACGTGTTCAAGTGTGTCCCGTTCACAGTGAGTGTCTGACCCCCACAGCGTTTATTGCCTGAGTCTGTAAGATAGTGACAGCCTGGGACTAACCCCTGCAAGGCCTGGCAGTGCTGTGGGTGACTCATTAGGAGTGATCTTCAGTCAGTGCTGAGCTCAGTGCCCGGCACGATGCTGGGAGAGGCTGTGCTACAGGCTGTGGTGTGGCTGGCTTTGTTGGGTGGTTTTCTCTCTGAGTCAGTGCTGACCTTGCGGCTGAGGACTGGTCTCCCATTTCTCAGGGGGCTCCACAAGCCTCTGAGTGAGACCGGAAAGAAGGCCTTGGAAGGAGGAGGTTAGAAAACTTCCTCGAGACCATTGACATCTGTCAAGGCTGAATCCCCACTCTGTCACTCCGAGTGCAGAAGGTGGGGGCCCGCGAGGATTCTAAAAATTAATACTGGCCACTCCAGGTTTGTATTAAACTCCAAAGGTTACAGCTTTTCTCTGATACCTTGGTTTGGTAAACGCTGCCACCACCCAAATGCAAAAAAAAACCCAACCCTTGGACCCAGGTAGGCGCACTTGGGAATTCCTCCCTGTGGGGTACCCTCAAGCCCTTTCACCCCACTCCGGGGAAGCGCTGAGAAAGAAAACAAAGGAAATTAGCTGTTGCCCCCAGCTAATCAAACAGCATATGCACAAACATCTCAGGGCACCAAAAATCCAATCCTGTTCTTAAAAAAGGAAAATTTTATGAAAAACAAAAAGAAAATATATCTGGAACTTAGGCTTTTGCTAGATTTTAAAAGAGCAATTCCAAAAAGTAAGCACCCAAAATAGCTTCTTGGGGGTTCAGCTTAAAGGTTACAAGCAAACAAAAGCATCTGGGGTTAGCACAGAGGAGATCCACAAGCCAAAATAAAGAAATAACCTGATCATGTCTACCTAAACTTTCCCTATCCCAATGAGTCCTGCTAGGTATGGAAAATAATTTTTCATACCTGGTTCAAACCTTACACAGCATTTCTGCTTATAGCATTGCTGCTCCGTGTTCCTGCACACCAAAGAGAGCAACCACAACCAAAGGAAAGTTTCTTTTCCCATTTTAAAAAGTTCTAGCCTTCCCATTGGCTCTTTTGGTCAGTTGCCCACTTTTTTTCTTTTACCTGTGGGCTTGTTAACCTTTTACAGGTAAAGCAAGCAGAGAACACACTAAGAGGGATTTTACAGCTAACTGGTGGGTTGGGTGTCCATCAAAGGAGCTATCCTCCCTTTATTTATCACAACGTCCATGAGCTCATCTTGTGCTTCTCCCAGGGGCCAGTTCAGGGTTTCTCCCTGCAGCTCTCAAGGCTGGCTGGGGGGACAGTAGAAGAAAATGGACCCAGCCCAGAAGTAATTAATCAAATGTAGCTTCCCATTTTCCTTCATCTCTGGGATCCACAGCTGGGGGGACATGATCACAGTCCATCAATCCCTTTGAGGAAGGAGCATAACGAGGGAAGGGAAATGACCCCCAGTCTTGGCAAAGGCAGCACAAGGGGAGATGGGCAGAAGGAAAAGCTGAGACTAAGATGCTGGGGGAAGTTTTAAGATATGAGCTACTGGGGTGGAGGAGTCAGAGACTCCTGGTAGGGAGGGCATGGCCGGGGGTGGCAGGCAGAGTCTCCTTTGGAGGAGGTGGTGGAGGCCCCATCACTGCAAAGATTCTGGCAGCATAGAGGACACATTAGTGAGGATGGAGGAGAAGAGTCCTGCAAAACCAGAGTGAGGTCAGACTGGCAGAGCCCAAGATCCCACAATCCCTGATTCTGGTAGGTACGTGGTGACCTTTTTGGCTGGGTTCCATGTACAACTCCAGCCTCCAAGGGCTCAGTGCAGAGGGGAGCATCTCTAAGGCAGCAGCTCTTTTGCTGTTCTCCAGGTTCCAAAGTCCAGCAGCTCATCAGCAGCGTTTCTCACAGTGCTGGTGAAGGGGCCGACGCTGGAGTTCAGGAGCCGGAAATCAGTGCTGGTCAAGAACTCAGAGAGCCTGGTCTTTGTCCAGACGGACAAACCCGTCTACAAACCCGGACAAACAGGTACAGGGAATCAGGTGGGGAATTAGATACAGAGCAGGAAATCCTCCCTGCCTCCCCAGAGACCCCACAACTCATCACCAAGTTAGTACAGCTGGCAGTAAACTTGCCTTCCCACATCCTCCCCACTAGTCACAAAGCTGGGGAGTGTGGTGCATGCATCCAACACTGCATGTGTCCATGGGTCATTGCATCTGGGCCAGGCATGCACACAGCAGCTGCCTCAATGATGATGGTCCCTGGGTGAGCAGCTGCAGGTGTAACAATGAAAATCTCTTCCTCTCTCAATCATGCCCTCTGCAGTTCTGTTTCGGATCGTCTCTCTGGACGAAGACTTCCGTCCCCTGAATGAGAAGGTAGGTCAGTTCGCTGATTAGTTTCCATGGCTGACTTGGTGAGTGCTGATGATGACCCTTTAAAGTCCTTTGTGATTCCCGGGGAACTTATTTCTATTAACATCTGTCTAGAGTTGTAAAAGTGACTGTGTAAAGCAAGTGATGCCTTCTGACTCCCCACATCTTCTTTATAGGGGTCAAATTCTGCCATGATTTACACCCCATTCAACTTCATTGACAGAGTGTACATAGGACAGAATATGTCCCTTTATGGCAGAATATGAATCATGTTTTATTATAAGGTAAAACTGTCTAATGTCAAAACTTTTTGGCAATTTTATTAAATCACGTTTAATTTAAACATAAGTTTTTTGCAAATACAAAAAGAAAAACATACAACAGTCTACAACAGCAACATCATATAAAACATATACAACCTTAAAAGGTCAATTAGAACCTAATAAAAATGCTCCTCATTGGCCAAATGCTGGAAGGGCAAAAATTGCCAGTGATTTGATTACTACCAGAGAATGAGAAAAAACTAAAAACATTATCCTTTTGAGATGGTGATAAAAATTCCTTTTATATAAAAGAGGTAAAATCCAGTATGTTCTCAGAAGCTGGAAAAATCTACAGTCCAAAAGATAATGAGGTAGATCTTCCATTGCCCCAGAGTTACACAAGCAAAAATGAAGATGTGAAGGAACTTTTCCATATCTACCTGTAAGGACAGCAATTTCCATGGTTTGGTATCTTAATTGAGTATATCCCTTACATAAATGAGGATTTCATAATTCAGTCAAATACTGTTCAAAAACATGAGACATCTTCAAAGTAGAAAACCAAAAGACAAACTTTGAACCATGAATCACAGCCAGATCTTCTTGTTGGGTAATATTTGTCAATCTTTGTTTAAGTAGTTGATTACACTGATTAAAAGATATCGACAATAAGTAATAGAAAAATCCAGCCTATTTATAATAAATTGGAAGGTCTTATATCATGGCAATATGGAGTGCAGAGGTTGTTCCTCCATCTCCTGAAGGCAAAAATGGGGCAATCTGTAATCTGGAAGAGTACAGATCTTAGACCAAGTATCAGAGGGGTAGCCATGTTAGTCTGGATCTGTAAAAAGCAACAGAGAGTCCTGTGGTACCTTTAAGACTAACAGATGTATTGGAACATAAGCTTTCATGGGTGAATACCCACTTCATCAGACGCATGATGAAGTGGTATTCACCCACGAAAGCTTATGCTCCAATACATCTGTTAGTCTTAAAGGTGCCACGGGACTCTCTGTTGCTTTTTACAGATCTTAGACCAAAATTTAAGAAAAGCAATACAAGCTCTATGACTTATAGTAAAACCATCCACCTCAGCACGTAAAAACAAAGGAGGGGTAGAATTTGGGAGAATCATGTCTCCTCACAAAATTATTTTGAATGATCTCTAAGACTGAAATTTGTCCCCTAAATCAAACTTCAGCCTCATAGATCATCTATGACATTATTTTTGCATTAAAGATTATTAGTACAGGGGCAGCTCTGTTCCCAACATATGGGCAGGTAAAACAGAGCACCCCTTGGCCAGAGCTAAGGGCCTTTTGTTTTAAGTCTTCATGATAAGGAAACCAGTGGCCTAAAATGATGAAACTTTATCCCTAAATAAGTAAAAGCAAAGATTAGTTTGTTCTGCCCAAAAATCATGACTTTGGGCTTATAATTGAGAACTAAGCCTTGAGAGTTATAAGAGAAAAAACAACATATCGGAGGCATCTTGGATGCTGCGATAAAACAACTGTGCCATCAGCATATAACAACACTGGAATGGATCTACTCTTAATTTGTAGGGGAGAGAAATGATCTTCCTTTATAACATCACCGCTTCATTAATATATACATTAAAAAGAAGAGGCACTGGAAAGCAAACCTGCCATACTCCCCTAGAAATAGGGAAAACAGTACGTTCTCCATTGGCTTTAGTTTTTAACCTCACCATATTGCACTTGTGTAGAGCCTCCAAAATATGCAAAAGTCTTAGATCGATTCTCATCCTTCTTAATTTTGCCCAGAGTTTTTCTTGGTTAATAAAATCAAATGCCATCTTTAGATCTATGAAAGCAGTATATAAACTACTACCATTAACCACAGTATATTTATAAATCATATAGGATAAAATAAAATAATTATCCACTGTGGCTCTACCAGACCTAAAGCTGGACTGCTCTTCATGTAGTAAATTAGCCTCTAAAGCCCATATTTCAAGTTTAGAGAGTAAAAATCTGCATTAAATCTTCCCTGCCACATCTAACAGACCAATCGGTCTATATGAAGCAGAATTCTTTCTGTCCCCTTTTTTAAAAATAGGAACTATAATAGTGAACTTCCCACCAGACGGAATCCATCTGGTATGATTAATGACAGTAAATAATGTAGCCAAGTCTGGGGACCACCAGTTAGGATTATCCTGAGAAACTTCATCAGAGAGAAAATCTTCTCCTGGAGGGTTTTTTCCATTGTTGGGCTAAAATTAATGAGTGTACTTCACTGTACTGTACTAAAAGCCAGAGTAGTAAATCAAAGAGAGGATTCCTCATTGCATCAACTATGGTAGAATTAGATTAAAAAACTGATTGAGGAGAATCATTAAAGACCTGGCCAAAATGTACTATCCAAGCTTCATGATTAATACAGGGTTCATCATTCAGAGTATATCTACCAGAACCCGTGGCCGCCATCTTCTAAAATGTGGAAGAATTTTTAGCTTTAGCTGCTGCTTCAAAACCCTTCCACAAGGATCTAAGATATTCTTGGTTTTTCTGATATAATAAACCTTTGTATTGTCTTCTGGCAGCTACTAAATTATGAAGTAAATTAGGAGACGGATTGCATCTTACCCTATTAGCTAGACAGACTAGAGCTGTCTTTTCCTTCACACAGTCTGGATCAAGCCAAGTGTACTTATCTTTGAAAGCATTTTTAGAATAGTTAAAAGAAAAATCAATTTGTTCAGAGACGAGTGGTTGCAAGGACTTTCCCAGCAACTCATGTGATTCACAAATTTGAGAGGAATTCAAGGACTTAATAATGATGTCTCTGAGAAATCTAACATCAGAGTCTTCCAATCCCCTAGATAATTTGTCAGGAGTGGCTGAGCTGTAGTCTTTGTAACTACATTTAATTAAGGCATCCTCACCCATGGGTAATAAAAATCTCACTAGAAAGAGCACATCATTGTAATTACAGAGAAATCCCTACAATGATGAATTACACAGGGATAATAATATTATCAATAACACTCCCAGCAGTCAATTATCTTTATGTGAAATGTCCCCTCACTTCTTCCATTTACAGGTATCATATTAAACTTATTCAATAATACCTTCTGTTTTTGTCCAGAGATGTTAACCATCTGATCTCCAGAGTTTTAGGGGGGAGGTTTAAAAATCTTCTCAGTGTTTTCTTCCCCTCATACTTGGGAAGGAGATTAATCTTGCCCCTGGAGCAGAAAGTGAAAATTGTCCTGTTAAGATCTTGTTGCCAGAGGTGAATAAACTGGAAAGAGTGCAGAGGAGAGCAACAAAATTTGTAAGAGTTTTCAAAAACCTGATCTATGAGGAAAGGTTGAAAGAATTGGGCAATGTTTAGTCTCGAGAAGAAAAGGCTGAAGGAGGACTACATGATAAATTGCCCACAGTTGGTGGAGCTAAGAACCTCCCTCTATCTTCTGTTACATCTTAAAAATCATAATCCTCTGTTTGTGGCATCCGTATGGGCCCTCTGAATATAGGAAACAGGATTTCAGGGCAGAGGGAATGAATCTGCAGAGGCAGATCATTATTCTGAATGTAAAGGAACAGGCTAGTGTAACACTTCATCTGATCACAAGGAAACGTAAAACACTACCAGAGAAGTTAGTGCTTTGAATAGAAATGCAAAGAATAACTATCAAAAAAGAAGCCGTTGGTTTCCACGTGCTGAGTAATAACTGGCTTCTTCAGAGCTTAATTTGTAATGAAAGAGATGTGTTATGAATTTGTAATGAAAGAGGCTCAAGCAATTAGGTGCTGGGGCTAATCAATTTTTTTACTTCATAACTGACACAGCAAGTCCAGAGGTGCCAGGGCTATGAACTGCCAAGCCCAGAGGTGCCGGGGCTCAGCCCTGGTACAAATTAAGCACTGGCCTCTCCATTTGATAAGACTGGAAATCAGAGACTTTCAGTGGTGGCTTTAGGAATATCCTAAAGGCCTGATTCCCCAGTGCCGTGCACCTTGCAGCATCATTAACACCAGAGCAAAGTGGGCATAAAACGTTGCCAAATGAGGCTGGTTCTGTGTGCCCCACTTTGCACTGGTGTGAGTGACAGCACCACGGTGGGCCAGCAGTGAGCCTGAGGAGATCACTTCTGTCTTGTGGGAAGGCATGTGACTGGGCCTCAAGACCGCTATACCTAGCTCTGTCACACCTTCCTGCACATTGTACCCTGTGATCTAGCTGACCCCCCTCCACCACCTCACTGCGAGTTTGCAGGAGCAGGGGTCCCTGAGGAGACATCCCAGCAGCAGGCCCCGCCTGATGCTGCAGAGCAGGACACAGAGAATTGAGTTGCCACCTGAAAGCCCTGGAAACCAGCAACTTTCCAAATGGCTACACGCTCAGGGACACATTTCCAAAGTGCCTCAGTGACTTAGAAACCCAAGTCCCATTTTCGGAAGTGACTTGGGCACTTTGGGCCAGATTGCAAAGGGATTTAGATGCCTAAAGCCGCAGGTAGGTGCCTAGTGGGATTTTAAAAAGCACATAGGCAGGTTAGGAGCATAACTCCCATTGGCTGCAGTGGGGAACTAGGTACCGCAGCTCTTGGAAACTACACTCGGTGCCTGTCTGCATTGTTGGGCACCTAAACACCTTTACAAATCTGCCCCCAAGTCTCACTGAAAGTCAGTGGCTCTTTGGCTCCAGAGCCACAGAACCTCAGAGGTATATAGGTGCCTGACTCCCATTGAAATCAACTGCCTAAAGTGTCTAAATCATTTTTGAAAAAGGCTTCTAAGTCACTTAGGTGATTTTGAATTTTTTACCCTGAATCCTCTACATGCAAAACGAAGTGTTTAATTTCACAGCTGTGTTAAACTGACCAGTTCAGGCTCTAAAACATTAGAAGGCCCCGCTGGAGTTTCTCATTGAGTAACAGAGAGCAAGGGGCAGAGGGAAATGCAGAAGAGAGACGCAGAAGTCCCCTGAACAGGATAAATGAGCTCAGTGCACGTCTGACCTGTATTTCTAACTCTGCTTCTCCCTGTTTTCCCCACAGTTTGCACTGGTCTTCATCAAAGTAAGTGGCCCATTGATTTTTACTCTCACAGCCGCTAGCTGAAAGCTGGGGCTGCTGTGGGGATGGGGAGACTCCCGTGCTCCACAGCAGAGGGGGGCTGTAGTGTGGTGTTCGTTGTGAATGGGTAGTGCGGCCACTAGGGTGAGCAAGGAAGTAAGGGTGGGTCTGTGTGAACAGGAAATAGAGTCCTTCATTCACCCCACCCACCCTGGGGGCTGGGTCTCTGGCATCTCAGCATTGGATCACCCTAGAGATTTCAGTCCTCAGCTGCAGCGCAACATTGGAACATGACCTGCAAAGGGAAAAATGAGCCTGTGATCTTTTCTGTTTCTTTAGGTTGTTTAAAGGAGCCTGAAAAGGGTCTTTTGTGAAAGTGAGCCCTGGTCTGCACACAAATTTCATTCCAGTTTAACTTTGTCAGTCAGGGGTGGGATTTTATACCAAAGTAGTTATACCGGTGCAGCCGCTAGCATGGGCCTGGTTATACCAGCATAGAGGTGCCTTATACTGGCACAGCTCATTCCCCTTTCCGTACAGGGATAAGCTAGACTGGTCAAAGATATACTGGCTGCCTGAAGAGAAGTAGCAGCCCAAGCAACAACATATTTAAGCCCAGATGAGCATTTCCATAGCCCATTGCCTTCCACATACCTGCATGGGGAGGGTTTTCTCAGCCCCAGTGGTAACTTGAGTATTTCAATCCTCAGCCAGAGCAGTTGCCAATTCTCAAACTGCAAATAGAACATTCAAGCTCCCAGGCACAGAGAAACTCACCGCATCCTGCACCTGTGCATTGGTCTCTTAGCCTTGCTCTCTTCCATCCTCCTTGCCCACTCCATGCGGCTGTGGGCATGTTGATCAGGTGGGCAGACAATGGAGTAGATTCAGTGCTGGTATCTGGCTGTTTAATCACACGCTGATTGCACAGGACTTGACTGGTTAATCCTTACAGACTACTGGGAAAGTACAGAGCTGGCCGCCAGGTGCCCTAACTTCAGCTATAGAAAAGGGCGATGATCATGTATATCCTGTATCTCTGCCGAACATTGGACTGCAACTGCCCTGCTCTGCAGCCTCGTGCCGTGTAGACACCCTGCCTGTAAATGACCTTGTGCTCTCCTCACCTCTAGGACCCACAGAGGAACCGTGTGTACCAGTGGCGAGAGGTGGAGTTAAATGGGGGCCTCACCCAGCTCTCCTTCCCCCTCACCTCCGAGCCCATCCAAGGCACCTACAACGTGGTGGTGCAGAAGGAGTCGGGGACCAATCTCGAACACTCCTTTAGTGTGGAGGAATATGGTAAGGAAGGGTCCCACTCGTGCTGGGGTGGGGGTGTTGGAAGCAGGAGCAACCGTCTGGGATTCATCCATTCCAGGCACAAAAATCCAGTTCAGGATTGTCTGGGGTGTAGATGAGTGAAGAGTGATCTGAGGAATGGGCCAGGAAAACACTGGAGGCTTTAAGGGATCAGGATCTGAGCCCCCATCCAGTGGTGTGTAGGTTTCTCCTCAGCACTTGAACTGCCAGGGTCACTGTTCACTGTAAGCCCGGGAGTATCTGGATCTGACTACAAAGGCCTATTCCTCGGGCCTACTGGATTTGGGCTGTGATTCCAGCCTCAGTACAATGCAGCTTTATTTTTGTGTAGGGTCTTTCCTACCAGTTGTGTGCTATATATGGTACGGATGCAGAACAAACTATGTGCATGCTGCATTACAGTGGCACAGTTTGCTCCTCCTGTGCTCTGCCAATGAAACTGGCTTAACTCACTTCTCCTTTCTACCCTTCTCCCACTCGGGTCTTCACACCTTTGTCCTTGCGGACCCTGACACCCAGAATGTCTTCAAATGTTCAAAATAAATAAATAAAGACACTGGCTGGAGACCAAGCCTGGAAAACATCAGCCCCAAAGGACAATCTTTCGGAAGGTTTATGAGGAAAGGAAAATGAGGCCAGCAGGAGTGGTAGATTCTCAAAGAACTTTAATTATAGTGGTTGCCACGAATCACTCAAGGAGAGAGAAATTACAGCACTGTCTAGACTAGGGAAATGTACCACTCCAGCCCCGACCCCGACCACTTGTGAATCGTCCCACAGAAATGCTCCAGCCACTTACAAGCATTCCAAGAGCTTGCTCTCAGCAAGCCTAAGAACCAGCTCATTCTGAACGGGTCAGTAACGGTGGCTCCACTACTCCTCTCCCGGCTGTCCGACAGGGCATTCTGAAACTTCCCAGAATCCACTGCTTCTGGGGTCTGTGCTGGGAACTGCGGGATAGGTACCACATGGTGTCGCAATTGAAGGGCTTTAAAGCAGTGCTCTTGTAGGGCAAACCCGCAGAGCTCCGAACACCAGTCAGCATGGCAGTGCGGGCACAGTGACCAGCCTGTGCTCCAACTGGGCCGATCTCACTGGTTCCAGTGCTCCAGTGTGACCTGGCTCTGGACAGACTGTCACCTCCTTGCTTGGGATGCCTCTGCATGTGCCACTCCAAGCCATGCTGGCTTTTGCCTGAGCCTTATACCTACAGCAGCTCTTATTGAGTTTGCTCTCCACTCTTCCCCCCACCCCCACCAGTGTCTCTCTCCCATTATTACCCCTCATTCAGTTAGTTCAGAACTGCTGAGAAAATTCACTTTGGGGCTGAAACTTGACAGTCTAGTGCCCAGCCAGGAGGCGAATGCAGTCTGTGAGCTCAGCCAGCAGGAAACAATATTTGCTTTTACCGTGTTATGAAACAGCTTTTATCCGACTCTTTTCACGCAGGGATACGTTTAAAATGGCTGAACTTTCGGGCCCGGTTCCCTGGTGCAGTCCGTCTGCTTTGTACCACTCCAGG